GGGATAGGTTGACAGGGGACATGGGTCAGGTTGAAGCTCTCTAGTCTGGCACTCTCTGGTCCAGCAATATCTGTGGTCTGGCATGATTTTAGTTAGCTTCGATGTCCACTTTTCATGGGTGTAGCCAAATTTCCCAATGTCCCATAAAGCTTGTTTACAGCCACCAGTCCTGGCTCCCAGTGTTTTGTGCTGTTGTCTCTTTATATAAAAAACTGTTCCCTGCTGGACAACAGGGTGATGTCAGCACGTCACTCTGTGTCCCACAGGAAAAATGTTCATCCCTCCACCCTCAGAAACGGGTGGATTCTCCCCCAGTTGCTCCTACATTTATGCCCCCCAAGCAAGACACCTGCAGTACCTGTGCCCCAAAGTCAGTCAGAATCATGCCACAGAGTGGGGAGAGCGCCAGGCCCTCCATCACCTGCGCCTCGCTCAGCACCATGGTGGCGGAGCTCGCTCTGTGGCCTCCTGCTAAGCGCCAAAATATTGAGGACACCGAGCCTGCCTGGCCCTTCCGTGCTCGGGGAAAGGACTGATCAGCACAAGGACTCCCGCCTGGGCTCCTCTCCCCCAGCCAGGTATGGGGAGTGCGGCCCCTCTGGGTGAGGTTAATGAGGCCCCTCATCATCAGCACGGTGGGAAAGGGGGACACTCAGCAAAAAGGGGAGCAGCAGCCCACAGGAAGTGGGGGAAACCCGAGCCTGCCTGGCCCTTCCGTGCTCGGGGAAAGGACTGATCAGCACAAGGACTCCCGCCTGGGCTCCTCTCCCCCAGCCAGGTATGGGGAGTGCGGCCCCTCTGGGTGAGGTTAATGAGGCCCCTCATCATCAGCACGGTGGGAAAGGGGGACACTCAGCAAAAAGGGGAGCAGCAGCCCACAGGAAGTGGGGGAAACGGGACCTGGGGGGAAGCAGGGATACTCCAGATGGAACTCAGAGAACAGGGCCCCTCTCTATTGAAGGTGATCCCTGGTTCCACCTGCTGTCATGCTATATTTTATCTCTCTCTCTCTCTCATTTTTTTTCCCTGTTGCCCCTCTGCTGCGTGACCTCTCCCCTCCTTCCTCCCTGGTGCTCAGGGGAGCCAGAGCTGCTGTGCCATGGCCTTGGCCTGGTGGCCAGGGAGAGAAGTGGGGCTGATGCAGCCTTGGCCCTGGTCCTCCCCGGTGGCTGAGTGGAGGGTGAGGATACCGGGGCTGGTGCGGCCTCGACCTTCCCTGGTGGCTGGAAGGAGAGCCGGGACTGCCTAACCCCAGAGAAAGGAGGGTTGGAGAGCATAACGAACAGGGAGCACCGCCCCCTAGTTTAGCTCTAATATACCATTTAATGTCGTCTAAGAGGCCCAGTAAGCAGTAGAAATATTGGTGATTCTACTAGACAATATTGATCTCCGGTGGTTAGGCAAATTCTCTGTTTCTGCACCAGTCAGGTCCCAAGGGTGCTGGACTAAAGAGTTTCAGCCTGTAGCTAGCTTCAGCAGTTCATTTTCTCAGCTCCTCAGGAGCTGCACTAGTCTCTAGGCATCCCAGCTGACCAGCCTGCACATCTGGTTACACCGGCTCCTTGTCTGCAAGGTGGATTCTAGTCCTGGCTCCTGACCCCCCTTTCTTAGCTGTTTCTGTAGAACAGTAAGTGGATCATACACTGTAATGCTAGTAACTCCCTTGCAAATAAGTCAGAAGCAGGCAAAGAGAAGATAAGTGGTACCAAGCACATGGCTGTAACAATTCATTCTGCAAAGTAATTCTGAATTCTGTGGAATCTTGGAAAAATGGCCAATTCCCAACAGTATAACAATAGAGTTGATGAGGACCTGAGTGAGATGAATGGGGAAGATCCCTCTTCACAGAGCTGTTGTTTCTTGCTCTTTGTAAACTTATATGGGTATTTATTACACTTGATTCATATTTCCATGGGTATTTTTGCACTATTAGGGCTAGAAATTTAATTTAAGAACAAAAGCTGTAATTCTGGAGCATTATTCTGCAGCAAAAGAGTGAATTCTCTGGCACTGCAAATTATGGAGGCATATTGTAACATGGTTATTAACTTATTTTGGCAGATGAATTCTGACCTCTGTGATCATATTTCTAGAATCTAAGTCTCAACTCTCACTCTAAACTGCTTCTCTTCACCCCTGTGGTTGCCTTATTGATGGATAGCTGAGGATTCCCTCATTTTAACTTTCTCTAACCTATATCTCTGCCTTTGGAATGTCCTTTGACAGCATACCCCAGCTCTGTCTCATCCAGTACGCACAATGCAATGTCCATTATAAGGTGGAACTGTGTCCTGTGAAGTAACACATGAAAATAGTGTCATGTTCTGAATGTCATAATGATTCTTAATGACACATCCTTTCTTTTACATAACAGAAAGGGAATACAGCCCTGCACATTGCATCCCTGGCTGGACAGGCTGAAGTTGTCAAAGTGCTGGTTAAGGAAGGAGCCAATATTAATGCACAATCTCAGGTATGGTAATGTTTTTCCTCTGTTGTAGGTACAATTTGGTGAAATTCTGTAAAACAAACTTAAGGAAAATAGGCAGGCACAATAACCCTTGCACCTAATGCTGTCAAATCGCCTTGACCTGTGTCATGGATAATGTTCCTTAGTATAGACGTTCCTAAGAAACTGTGAGTATAAGTACCCAACTGCATAGAATAGTATGTGATGCATAAACTAGGATTGTTGTGAACTGTGATCACCAAGGAGAATTTTTCTTATTTGTTCTAGCAAATCATGAGCCTCAAATAATCCCACTACACTGAGACATTTTAAAATGATGTGTTTGTCTTGAGCTGGGTGAGAGGAAGTGAAGTGGATAAGTTCTCACTCTGTCAAGCTGTCTGTAATGGTTCACAAGCATAAGTGCCAATATCTGGGCAGACTGTGAAGAAACAGAGTACAAAAACCCCCACACTGGTTGTGAGAGTTATACTTAGTTTTTCACCAGGTCAATGAAGTGTGAACCCCTCAAGCAGTGCAACTATCTTAACATGGACTCATGGACAGCCCAGCAAGTACTTTGATCTATCTTGCAACCCAAGTAATCTTGCCTTTCACCAAAAATGACAAGTTAGTCTCAGTCCCAAAGGAACAGTCACTTAATTGCATCTTACAGCCTACACTAAAGACAATACTTTTAGTCAATCCTATAATAAAGACAGATTTATTAACTAAGAAAAATAAACAAGTTATTTGCAAGATTAAAGCAGGTAATCATGCACACACACACAAATGGATTGCAGGCTTAGATTTCAAAAAGCAATAAAAGCTGCTGTAATATGTAAACTTTGTATGTCTTCTAGAGCTATACTAGGCTAAGCAGCGAGGGATCCCTTTCTTATGCTTCGAATATTTGCCCTCAGAGTCCAGGTCTCATAAAGAGATTGAGTTCCTTCTTGTCCCCAATTTTTATTTCCTTTCCTCAAAGGTGAAGCTTATGGGATGAGTCCATCTGCACATCTCTTCCAAGATGTGTATGTATGTGTGTAACAGGGTTGACTAACCAGCATGGCACCCTCAGCTGGTTGACTTGGGGAATTAGCTTGATGTTTCGTTGTGTGCCTTCCTCCCGCTGGTTTCTCCCCGTGCTGTTCTTTTAACCACACTGTCCAGTCTCTGTCTGCGCCCCCTTCTGGGGGGTGTTGTTTTTTCCTCTGCATACTCCAATTCAGGGTCCTCCCTACTCCCCGGAACACCCCAGTTCCCCGGCACCTCCCTTACTGGGAGTGTGGACCTGCTGCCTCTGCCAACCAGACTGCCTCTCGCAGCCCAGCCTATCATGACTGCCCCTCGCAGCCCTGCCTACCATGGCTGCCTCTCACAGCCCCTAGTAGCTTCAGGCCTGCCAGCCTGGGGCTTAGTTGGCCAAAACCTTCCCAGCCCTGCTCTATCTCCAGGAAGACTCTCGCTTCCCTGGCAGTCAGGTCCCTCTCCAGCCAGAGCAGCAGTCAGGTCTCTTCTCCTCCCTCGAAGAGTCCCTCTTTATATAGTCCCCAGGTGGGCCCTCATTTGCCGAGCTGCCGCAGCTGGGCTTCACTCTGTTCTTCCCTTACACTTCACTCAGCCCCTTTTAAAGGGCCTGTGCAGGCAAACGCCCTGTCACAGTGTGCATGAGGGGAGAGGAGACAATCTTTTGTCTTCTAGTGTTCCATGGTGCCTTGTCTGGTACCTGGTATCTGTGAGTATCTGGTATTTTGTTGGGCAGGAGATGATGGCTCCTGTGCAAAACTAGTATTTCACACTTGTTAATGCTTTTCTCCTGATTGAGGATTTACTGTTTGATTCAGAGCGAACACTTAAATATTACCTTATAATATGGGATATAGGTATTATAAGTGAGATTAATGCATGCAGAAACTCAGCAGCATTTCATAAAGTCTGAACACATTCTTATAACTCGAACATGTATTTTAACAATACTCACTCACAGGTGAGTCAGACTGGTTACCACTATGCATGCCAGTGCTTTCTGAGACCCCGGGGCCTTGGCATGAGCTGACATCTTGTCTGCCAGCATCACAACTCCAGCATTACTTTTTAGACACAGAGAATAAAAGCATTGCTTTTCATTGTTAACTACTGGTTAAAAAAAGTTTGTAGATGGATTAGTTTCCATTAAGATAGGTCTTAACATTTAGTCTTCACATAGATGGCATTCAATCAAAGATTTGGCATGCACATTCGATCTTGGGAAATGCACCTTATTTTTGAATGCAGTCCAACTGTATAGAAAGACCTATTAATCTCTATGGCATGAAGGTTGGCTATTTTTCTAATCTGTACCACAGAGCATAATATGATTACAGAAACCAACCAATGGCAAAATGCTTGAAGATAAATTCCACATTTGTGCAAGGTTGTAATAGCAGCAGTTGTCATTACTTCTGTTTCAGAGTTATAAACAGCATGTATTAGGCTCTCAGTAGGAAAAAAAACAGACTGCAAGCCATGTAGATGATGGTTTGTTTTCTGAGTTAAGCACCTCCATGCCCACAAATACACCCATGGAAACCTAGGCTACGTCTACACTATAAGCCACTTTCGAAAGATAGTATCTAGACAACAGCCAGTACTTTCGAAAAAGCAAACCACTTTTTCGAAAGAGAGCACCCAGGCAGTCTGGATGCTCTCTTTCGAAAAAGCACAGTTTGCTTTACATAGTGCCTTTTTTCAAAAGAGCACTGTCAAAAAAAGGTGTTATTCCTTGTAAGATGAGGTTTTCCGTGGTCGAAAAAACTGCCACGTTCTTTCGATTTACTTTTGAAAGAACGTGGCAGCAGTCTAGATGCAGGGAAATTTTTTTTTTTTTTGAAAAATGGCCACTTTTTTCGGGGAAAAAAAACCTGTAGTCTAGACACACCCCTAGTAGTTATTGTTATTTTTGTTTAGCAATTTGCTACATTACCATAACACTATATTTCAAATATGTCAATTGTGTAGAATCCTGAACACAGGGAAATACTGAATATCTCAGGCAACATTGTTTGGTATATGTTGGTAAATGCTACTCTTGAATGAAGAGTATTGTACACAAACATGCGTAATTGAAGAGGAACTTGGAAAGTGGTCTGCTATATGTTAAATATCCTGACATCTTTATGCATAAAAGTCTCAGGGGTAGCCATGTTAGTTTGTAACTGAAAAAACTTAAAAAACAAGAGCAGCACCATAAAAACTAACAAAAAATGTAGATGGTATCATGAGCTTTCGTAGGCACAACCCACTTCACCTGCCCATGAAACCTCATGATACTACCTACATTTTTTGTTAGTCTTTAAGGTGCTGCAGGTCCATTCATGGTTTTAAAAATTTCTTTATGCATAAAGTCCTTTTTTTTTTCCTTGACAACTTTTTACCCCGGCTCTTTGCGTTATCTCGCCAACTGTTGTGGCTTTTTGCCTTTTAAGGTGTTGGCCACCCCTGCTCTAGCACAGGGTATGTTTGTGGGTATGGAGGTGCACAGGTGTAGAGGTATCATTGGATATGGCTATATAAATTTTAGGGGTCTGTTGTAGCTAGTGTTAGTAAGAGCAGCTCTAAATTATGCCACGGTCCAACCTGTCCTTGATATGTTCCAGAATGTTCTCCAATTGTCCAAGTCCTGCACTGAACACAACTTAATCAGACTTATATTTATAAAATGGATAGTTCTGTTCCTACCCTCACAACATTCACATAAAAATCAGGTGGGTTTTTTTGTGTGTTTTCTTCCCAAAAGCTTGTTTTGCTAAGGAGCTCTCATGACTACTGATTATCAGTTATATTCCATTCTTCAATTTCATTTAATTGAATGCTGAGGAATTCTGCAATGCTGTTTGTCTAACTCAAGAAATGAACAAGTTTATTTTGCAAAGTCTTAATTAGATAATTATCATACATGTTCATAATCTTTTTTTCATTTATATGTAGGTAAACTTTTTATTTTAAAATTAAGATTCAAGCAATGCTAAGAGAAATCAGAGTGAAAATATGATTGTTTTAAAAACCAGGAATGGTTTTTAATACAAAAATATATGTTTTCTGCCAAATGGGGTAAACTTTTTCAGAGTAGGCTTAGAACGGCCACTGCAGTTTTATTGTTAGCACTGAATGTTTCAGCTATTGTATCTAGTCATGCCAACAAGCATTTGCTCCTGGAAGTCTGATCCAAATTGAATTGACTCAGAGGATTATGACAGGCAATCTTACATACTTTCATCTTCTGCCCACTGAAACCCTTATGCATATGACAATAGTTTCAACATTCACAATAATGGTGAAAATGGCTATCTTACCAAGCTATCTGCTGGAAAATCTATCCAACAAGACATTTGCCACTGAAGTCATTCTTCAGTTTTGTGGAGGGCAGCTTGCAGAGCAAAAGTGAGAACAGTACCACGGGTGTAAGGCATCTCTAGAACTAGACAAAACTAATAAAAGAGGAAATGGTAACAAGCAGAGGAAGAATGTATGAGCTAGTGACCGTGAATTAATTTGCAACCTAGTTATGAACCAACCACATCTTCACAAAAAGGAAGTTACTGGCATTAACAAATTAAGAGTCAAATCTTTCTCTTCTCTGTAGCTTCTTATACGGCACTGATCTCTGTAGTATGAGAGTGCCTTCCATAGTCACTAACATCTGTCATGTGGCATTCTCTATATTCTTCCCAGCAGGAAAAGTATCTTGTTTTGGTAGATTTTTTTTTAACGATATATATACACATTGCAATGTATTTATGCTAGAGAAGGAAAGGTCAAAGAAATGTTCTTAGCACTTGAAGTAGAAAGTGGTGAAGTCTGTAGTGATTCTCAGTTCATGGGGACTAAGCTCATTCCAGTCTTGAAACGTCTTTCTTTTCCCATTGAGAACGTCTTTCTCTTGCATAGATGAACTTTATCCTTACTGTAAATTCCATTGTTCTAGAGCAGTGTAGCTGTCAACCATAGTCTAATCCCATAGCTTTAGGAATAGCTTTAGGAAG